GATTACGCGATGGCCGGGGTCCAATATTGCGTGTTGCAGGTATGGCACCATGATCAGGAAGAGGGGAAAAAGAAATGTATTCGCATAAGGTGGATTTCAAATGATTTGGCGAGACGCTTGTCTTGGGCGCCGATAGGGTTGGATTTTGCCGAAACCGACGGTATCGTCTCGTCATTGGGAGGGCTCATCCGCCTGGCAGTGTCACGATGATGCTCGTGATGGCCAGAGTTCATGATGGCCCGTCAGCCGAATGCTGCCACACCTAATAGCGCGAGCATATCACAGTATGACTTCGACGGCCTTTGGAAACGACTTGTTCCGGGTTCCCGGACTCAGGGCTGGCCACCAGCGATCGGAGTCCTACGCTGTGAAAGGTCGATTCGAGCGCAAGATCGGAGATCTGGCACACACACACACGTACACACCCCTCCATTCTCACTGCCGCTCACCACCATCTCTCAGAAAAGTCTCCGCACGACCGGGTTATCACGGCTCTCTTGCCACGACCGGGGCGGCGAAAGGATGCGGGCGCAGCTCATGCGAGATCGCAAGCTCTGCAGAGTTGGGCAGTACGGTGAGGATGTTAATACCTCAACGGGGCGTCAACGTTGACGCGACGATGGTGATCCTATGCAGCTTATCGGCACAAGCAAGCAACCGGCGGGTTCTCGAAAGAGAAATCCTTTTTTTTTTTCCAGTTAACTTGTCTGCCAGGCTCCTGCCGACTGCAGATGCGACGCAGGCGAGACTGGGTGAAGACAGGGTCAAGTATAGGTGAGGTGCAGCAAGCGTATTGAGGCGATGAGTCGACCGAGTTGACAAGTGACAGCGAAGGGGCCAAGTCTGGTCTGCTCTCGCTTTCGGAGAGAGAAAAAGCAACGGCAACGAGGGCTGCGATTGGAGCGTCAGCGTGGGCACCGGTCTCGCGTCTCGATTGCAGGGGTTCTCATGGAGAATGACTGGGCTGCTCAACTGCGGGCTCTGCTCTCAGAGGGTACGTGACTGTTGGACCAGATGGACGGATGATTTGTGAGTGATGCTTGCAGCGAGGCTTTTCCTCCGACCATCGACCCAATCTCGAGCTGCAGCGCGTCTTGCATGAACCTGCTGTGGGTAGAGCGGGCGGCGAGCAAGATGCTGCACGCTTTCTACCGGGGAACATGGGGGGGCCTGGGCAGAACCGACATTGGAGGGAGCAAGACTGACGAGGGAAAGCAAAGTTGATATGTGAGAGAAGCCGAAACGGGAAGAAAAGGCGCGACAAGAGAAAAAAGTTTTCGCCTGTCAGGCCAGAGACAGACAAGGGCCTTGTCTTCATGGTTGGACGGGGACAACCGGATGGACGGATGATCGAACACCAGACCCAGGGTGACATCGCTCAATGCCGCCGAAACGCCCTGGTCCAGATACCCATGACCGCTCTCGTCCGGTGAGAGTTGTGATTCTCGGCGGTCGACGGAGTGTGAGTTCAGGTACAGACAGGGCATGGCCGGGGTGCCCCCCCCCCCCCTTCAGGGCCGCAGTGGAAGCGACAGCAACAGCGGCAGCGGGAGCAAGCCCCGGGTTCCGGGACGGCACAGCACGATGTGACAGCTGACAGTAAGGTAGACAGCAATTCCCTTGTCAAATACCAAGATACTAACTAAGGGTGAGGTGGGACGGGAACGAAGGTCCCCTTTTAGGTCATCACCAACGACGTATCGTCTCACAAGCCTCATTGATCCTTCTTGAGCCTACGCTTACGCAGATATGGCCAGACCCGATCAGTAAACACATACGCAACGCCGCCTGTTGGTGGCATTGACATAAGCCACGCGACAACCTGAAGGCGGCACGGACAACGGCCAACAGCCAAGGGCCATGAGAAAACGTGACAAGTGAGATGTTTTGGCCGTGCCAGGCCATTCCACGAGCTTCCATGCCACTCACTTGCCGTTTCCCCAGTCAATCAATCGCCAGTGGCTGTGGAAGAGCAAGAAAAGACGCGAAGAAGAAAAAGCAACACCAGAACAATGAAGGAGAATGCACGCAACTGAATAGGCACCAAGTATGTACCTCGTCAAGCGACACTGTGTGTCTGGGACATCGGCATTTGGTCGCCCACGTCGCATTGCTTTTCCCAGCAGACAGGTCAGAGGGAATACGGAGTGCCTGCGAGATCGTCCATCACGCATCATCTTAGGGGCTTGGCTCGCAATCTTTCGTCCTCTGTCCATGTGTCTGGTCAGTGGGTTCGTATCCTTTCTCTTTCCTCAGTGTCTCTGTCACATTTTCGCGCCTTGCGGTCATTTATCAAGTGCAGGTGTACAGACAAATTTCATCGTCGGTCTCGCCATCGACACCCCCCCCCTCCCGGCTTCCCCCCCACCTGCGACCAGCAACTGTGGAGGGGAGAGGGGGGAGGGGGGGCAGAAAAGGAAAGGGTCGCCAAACCCTCGCGATATGGGTCCCCAAGACCGGGGGTTGTCGAGAGTTGCGACCTTTGTAGAGGTACATGGCTACAATTCACCGTCCCGATGTGGTGGCCCAGTGGTCCTTTGGGGAGATCGACAGTCTTGAATTTCGAGGTGCCGGATCACGACCAGGGGGGTTCTTGGTGGTCAATTAAAAGTCTGAGGTTGCATCACGTGGGGGCTTGTCAATGTCTTGCCCCAAGGCGGCGGTTCCGGGACCATTGTTGGACGACACTGAAGATCACCAATGTTCGGCCTCCCAAGGGAGGGTAATATGTGAACAAGGCGAGCAGCCTGATATAGTCCGGGGACAGGAGTCAAGCGAGGTCGCTGAAGGGCCGATTTCTGGATCATTTGTTTTGAGGCTTTCGTCTTCATGTGATATTAAACGGGGGGGGGATATGCGGGGAGGATTATCAGCCCAATGGATGAGGCATTCCCCTGAGGTTTTTTGGGGGGGAAAAAAAAAAACCTTATGTCTCTTACGATTATTTTGGAAAAATGAAAGACAGGGCCTGTTGGCCTGGGGTGGAATACCTTCTTGTTGTGGGCCATGTGAAATGAGCGTAGACACACTGAGTGCCCCCTTTTCCCCATGTGCACTTGAGA